TTCAATCCCAACCACACAAATAAATAAATAGGCCAGGGGTATAGCTAAGTGGTAGAATACTTGCCTAAGAATGCACAAGACACTGGGTGCTACTCTCAAGCAAACAAATACACAAACAAAAAAGAATGCATGGTATATGGGCACCTGCTGTCTGCCTGAATATCTTAAGAGAAAGCTTCTCAACTGACAAGTCAGTCCATTCTATTTGTGGGCAACTTTGTTAGAAAGTGCTTACATGAAATCAAACACATTTATTCCTGTAACTACTACCTGCTGGTCCTTGTTTTGCCCATTAGTACTCCTGTGAATGAGACCAATCTTTCTTATGCGGTAACCTTCTGTAAACATTTGAAACTAACTAGAGGGATTTATCACTGCTTTCTCTTTCTCAAACTAAATATTGGTATTTCTTTCACTGCCAAATATGACATATTTTTAAGCTCATTATTCTGATTATACCTTCATTTACTACTCTGTAAAATGCTGCTTAGAAACAAAACGAAAAATAAATAAGATGGTACTTAAGAGATGATCACAATGCTCCCGGTGGACTCACACAATACATACAGTGTGACATACCGCTCCTGTTTACCGAACACTGCTGTGCATCCAGCTACACACACTGTAGCGCATACAATGCATCAAATTCCTGTCACACCACACTTAGGGTTTACATGTTTTACATATTATAGCACCACGGACCATTACATTTTATTTTGGAGTGACCCTGCATTATTTCAATATTCATGTATGGATAAAGAGTTTAGACATGTAAGAATATGTTGAATGTTGATTTACAATAATTCTGTCCGTTGCTATAGGTCTTCAACTTCAAAATACAGACTTGCTGAGGGCAGTAGCACTTGCCCCTAATTCCACTTCTTCAGACTTTCCCTCCTAGTGCTAGAGGTTTAACCCAGGGTCTTTACGCTGAACTACATTCCAGCCCTTTTTGACTTTTCATTTTGAGACAGTCTCCCAAAATTGTCAGCCTGCCCAGGCTGGACTTAGACTTGAGCCTGATTCTCCTGCCCAGCCCCAGAGTGCTTCAATCACAGCTATGTGCCACCAGCTTAGATTATGTTTTTATAATCTATTTTATGCTTAGAAGCTAAAGAGCAAAAAGGGTAACAGACTGTCAAAAGACATATACTCAATTTGGGGGGAGTCAAGTTTTATATTACACCAGGTGAAAAATTAATGTGCACAGGCTGCACCTACTTCAGTAGTTTTCTTCTTCCACTTCAAACAAGATCAACAGTTAGAGCAAATCTGCCCCGGTATTTGCACTGAGCTAAATCTCACCTGCCAGTTCTCCTGTCATGAAAAATCTGTCTAGAGGGTACCCCAGTAGCATGGCTTCTGTGGTACACGCACATCTGTAATCCTGCCACTCAGGAGGCTGAGGCAAGAGGATCATGAATTCAAGGCTGGTTTGTGCAACAAAGCAAGACTCTGTCTCAAAAACAAAACAAAACAAAACAACAAAAATTCCTAGTTCTTCC